ATAATGGCCATCCTCACAGGAGCAAGTGAGTACCTTATTGTAGTTATAATTTGCATTTCTTAGTGATTAGTGATGTTGAACATTTTTGCATATTTAACATTTGTATCTCTTCTATTGACAAAAATCTGCTGATGTATTTTGCCTCCTTTTTAGTGACATTATTTTTTCCTTATTAATTTAGAGTTCTTTGTAAATTTGGAGTATTATGTCTTTGCCAGATGTATAGTTTCAGAACATTTTCTCTAACTCTGTAGATTGACTTTACTGTAGATCATTTCCTTTGCTGTGCAAATGTCACTTTTGGATACTGTTCTATTTTTTTCTTATATTACCTATCTCTTTAGTTAATTTTTCTTCATATCCTGAATGATTTTTAAAAATTTCTTTCTGTTGGTTTTCACATTTTTCATGGATCTGATTGCGCTTACTTGTAATCCATATTTTGAATTACATATCTGACATTTCCAAAATTTCCTTTAGGTTGGAGTCCATTGCTAGACAGCCATTTTGTTCCTTTGGAGATGTCAAAACTGCCTTTTTTTTTTATATTGTCATAGTTCTGATGTTGATTTCTCTTCATATGGAAGCTCTTTTCTCAGCTCAAAAAAGCTAGCAATTCACTTCTTCTTCTCTGCTGTTTCTATATAGAGAAGTACATTGCTTTTTAGCTCATGTAAGAAGACACCCTTTGTTGTTACTGAAGTTTGGTTAGTTGAAACAGATCTTTGGGAGAGTGTTCATGTGCCAGTATTAATGGGCTAGGTTAGGTAATACCCAATTCCTAGTACCCTAGATGTCATTTTTGAGTCCTGGGGGGACCAGGCAAGGACTGAACTGACAAACTTGCCTTCAAGCCTCTCTGGGTTCAGACATTTACTGTGATAGAGATGGGTAGGTGATTTCTTATTCCAGAGTAATGCCCAGGTAAGAGAAAGGCAAATAAACTATTGGTCTGAGACAGTAGACAAGAGCTCCCTTTTGAGAAAATGGGAGTTCCCAAGCTGCTCATATTTCTCTCTCTCTCTCTCTCTCTCTCTCTCTCTCTCTCGGCAGTGAAAAAGGTCTTTGCCCTCTGGGGACAGAAAAAATGAAAAAATGCAAATTCTCAGCTCTTATCCTGGCCCAGCTGGAGTAGGATAGTGGAGTCAGTTCATCCCATTGGGTGCATGCTGGCTGTGGGCTGTGGCTATGGCTGAAATGATCTGGCAGAAAAGGTATTTGTGCCAAAGTCTTTTCTCTAGAGAGGTTAGGCTTCTGCAATAGGTATAGACAGCTCAAGAAGACTGGTCAACCTATTTTCCCTCAGCAGAGGTGGTAGTTTTTATTTAGGGGAGTGTGTGGGTAGTGGCAGTAGCATGTCAGATGAGTGAGTGAGTTACAGAAGCTGTGGTAGGATAACCATCTAGGTCCCAACCAGTGCTGGAAGGTGTTGGCAGTGGCCGTAGTACAGGGGCTCCACACATAGCCCAATCACAGAGCTCTTAGGCTCTCCTGCTCTCCGCAGCAGCCATGTCATAGCATCACTCTGAGGGGATAAAGGGCTCTCACTCTTTGCACGTGAGCCCTAGACACAGAAGATATACCATCAATGTGGTTACTGTCACCTATCACATAGACAGACAGGCAGCTGTCTGCCAGCTCTGCCACTGGTAGGAGAAGATTTCACTCTTTGCTAGCAAGGTAGAGCATAGACCCCTTGCGTCTCTGTTGGTGGTGGAGTCACTTTTCATAGGCAGATGTAGAGAGTTCTCAGACTCCAGAAAGTGCATGTTCCATCTTCTTTGGCTACCCTTCTTTGGCTACCCTTCTTTGGCTAACCTTCTCAAGGTGGTACCCCTGTGTGGTACAGCACTGACAGCCCCAAAGCACCCCTGAGTCCAGCCAATGTTTGTCACTGTAGCCCTCCATGCAGACATTAGAGGATGTCAGTGGAAACTCCTAAGATCTGGAGACACAAGGGCTTTATTTTAATGGTGGTGGGGGTGGAGTCCCAAGTAAGCATGTTTTCACATGCTGTCATTGCTGTCAAGTCTGGGATGTCAGCAGGCAACTCAATGCAAGTGTTAAGCTCTGTACAATGCCTTTTGAGAGTGTCCATATTAGTACCCTTGTGAGTGACATGGTTCTTTTAAATAGAGAATTTCTCCCATCATTGGGGCAGCAGTGCATAGGAAGAATGTAGACCATGGAAACTCAAATAACTCACACTTTCTCTGATATACTGAGTCTCTCCAGGCTCAAGATAGTCTCCTTTTTCTTCTTTCTCCTTCTGTGTCCCAGGTGTTACCCATGAACGTTGCATTAGAGTCTAATGTTCTCTCCTTAATATTTTATCCAAGGTACAATTTTCTACATGTTATCAAGGCTCTTCTCTCCAGAGAGGATGGGTATGCTGTTTCTCTAGTCAGCCATCTTTAAGTCCTCCTTTGTAATTATAATTATGAATAAACTTTCTGTCCCATTTTATCTACCTCTTTTTATAGTTGGTAATTCTTAGATTTGCCCTTTTAAGGCTATTTTCTAGATCTTGTAGGCATGCTTCAGTTTTTTTTTTCTTCTGACTGTGTATTTTCATATAACCTGTCTTTAACCTCACTAATTCTTTCTTTGCTTGATCACTTCTGCTGAGAGACTCTGATATAGTTTTTAGTTTGTCAATTGAGCTTTTTAGCACCAGCATATCTGCTTGATTTTTACAAATTATTTTAATCTTTTGTTAAATTTCTTCAATAGGTTTCTGAATTCCTTTTCTGTGTTTTCTTGAAGTTCATTGAACTACTTCAGTTTAGCTATTTTGAATTCTTTACCTGAAAAGTCATAGTTTCTATTACACTGGGACTGGTCACTGGTGTCTTAATGTATTTGGTATAGTCATGTTTTCTTGATTCATGGTACTTGCAGATGCTCGTTGATGTCTGGGAATTGAAGATATTTACTCTAATTTTCACAGTCAAGATGCTGTTGTTTGTACTGGTTTTTCTTGAGAAATTATTTCAGGTATCCTAAAGGAATTGAATGTTGTGATCTAAGTCATTGTTCTCTGTAATCATATTACCATTAAGGGGTTCTCCAGCTAACACTATAACTCTTGCAGGCTCCTGGTGGTACAGTCTTAGTGGACTTGGGTAAGATATGGGAGAATTTCTTAGATGATCAGAAAAAGTGTCTCATTATCTTCCCTCACTTTCCTCCAAACAAAGGGACTTGCACTCTCCATACTGGGCTGCTAAATTTGGACAGAGGTGACATGAACATCCCTCATGTCAGCCATAGCAGGGTCTGCACTATTCCACACCTGAAGCCAGCTCAGTCTTGCCCAGGTTCTATGGTGATTGTTACTTATTTACCAATAATGTTCATTCAAGGTACAAGGGCTCTTTCAGCAGCAGGTGGTAAATCCTGCTGGAACTGGGACCTTCCCTTTAGGGCAGTGTGTTTCATTCTAGGCCAGGATGGGTATAGAAATGCCATACAGGAGGTAAGGACTGGACTTAAAAGCCTCAGGACTCTGCTTGGCACTTTATTTTACTATGGCTGAGCTGGTACTCAAATTGCAAGAAAAAGTCCTCTGTATGTTCCCCTTGTCTTTTCCCAAGTGTAAGAAGAGTCTTCCTTAGCTGCACTGCCTGGGATTGGTGGAGGGCTAAGGCAGGCATTCACTTGGCTGCTACCACTGGTGTCTCATTGGATCATATCACATGCACCCACATCCACTGGCTCCAAGCCCAACAAAGACTCAGGAGCTGCCCAAATATCGCAGCCTTTGTGGCCTAAGTGCTTTACAAATTCATTCCAGATCTCAGACTACTTTTGTCAGCCAGTGGTGGAGCTAGCTGGAATGTGGGTTTCTATTGTTGGGACAGAGGAATTTTTCTTTGCCACAGCTGGTCAAAATTCTCCCTCTGTGGGCACCTGGAAAATTCTGTGGTCACCCCTCTTGTGACAGGGCAGCCCTGGGTTTCAATGAAAAGTCCCACAAAGAGTTCGCTCTCTTTTCCTAAAGAACATGGATTCTAGGGTGGCGCCTGTGGCTCAAAGGAGTAGGGTGCTGCCCCCATATACTGGAGGTGGGGGGTTAAAACCTGGCCCTGGCCAAAAACTGCCAAAAAAAAAAAAAAAAAGAAAGAAAGAACATAGATTCTATTTCAACCTGGTGCTGGTGTGGATTTGTCAAGGACTGGGAGAAAGGTGGTATAGGCAATGAAAGACTGTCTTTTCTACAGTCCTTTTTTCCCTTGATACAATGCTGAACCTAGGTACTATGATTGCTCCCCTGGTTTTGTTTCTTATGAAGGTACTTCCTTGCAAGGATAGTTTTCCAGTTTGGCATTATTGTTGGGGGGAAGATCACCAGAGTGTTCTATTTGGTCATCTTGCTTCACATCTTCTCCCAGAGTGGCCCAAAGTTGGTTCTTTTTCTACTCTAAGAAACTTTGCCCGAAATATAGGATAGGATTTGGTTAGTGGAAGACATGTGGGTTTATTCATTTGTCCTGGTGGGAGGTGGTATCATATCTTAGGCTGGCTGGCCAGCCAACCTACTGGTCAGCCAACTTTGAGTATATGTCCTTTTTGCCCCGGCTAGATCTCATCCTTATTCCATGACAGCCTCCTCATTTGTCACAGATGCTATTGTGCAAATAAAATGATACATATAAAAATTCTTGTAAAATCTAAGTGTGCCCGGAGATATCTTGCTATGTTACTATCAAATGTACTTTCAGGAAGATGTTCTGAACTGTTCTTTTTGTGTAGACATTTCTGCAATCAAAGGAAAATATTGCAGCCCCAAAATAATGGGTGTTGGAATTGAAATATAAATATGAACTAATTAATGAATTTTCTTCTATTTAATACAATAAGGCTATTCTATAATTAACAAGAAGAATAATTAAAATGTGGTTCATTTTGTCTTCAAATAAATTAGTGTCCATTCTATTGTGTAATAGACTAAATTTGGGGGTTATAAGATGGTCTTAATCACCCAATTTTCTTCACAGGGTTGGCCTTTGCTGTTCTCTCATCTGTGCATCCAGTATTTGGTTTATATGGCTCTCTGTTTCCTGCCATCATTTATGCCACATTTGGAAGGGGACGCCATGTTGCCACAGGTAATATTTCCTATCTATGGTTCTACTTCTCATGTTGCTAATGAAAAAGAGGACTTAGGATGATTATAATTACTCATTACATTTCCAAAGAGGTTCTAACTCCACTACTTAAAACTTCAGTAATCATTAGGGCAAGACATTTAACTTGTGTACATCAGATAGGCAATATGCACTATGATTTATTGTTATCTTACTGTATAAGATTATTGCTAAAGATTCTTTGCATTTTTAAGCTGCCAAAAGACTACAAAAAGAGAGAATGCTCTGAATTTATAATGAGATGAGTGAAAGCAAGCACTTAGAAGAATAAAAAAAAGATTATATAAATTTAGTTACTCAAATATTGAAAAATATTTGCATGTATTTGATTTTTAGACTAAATAATCTTAAAGGCCTATTCCAGTCTAGATTCTATAGTGCCCTTTAATTAGTATATCTATTACTGTGCCTAACTGCTTTACTGAATAAAATGTGATGGATCACAAATATTCTGACAATAGAGTAGGATGGGTTTTGTTGTTAGATAAACCTAGGTGTATGTCTCATTTCTTGTTTTCTATCTGCTTAGACTTGGCAAAGTTTTAAACCTCTAATTACCGCTTTCTTGGTACTAAAATGATCCCCAAAATTGATCCCTAAAATTTCATACGATTATAGGGAGGACAAGATAATTAAGGTTTAGTACCTGCTACAGTAGGATTTAATAAAGTTGGCTATTATAATTATAGAATGATACCTTAGTCTTAAATATTAAGGAAATAATAATAAAAATAAATTTTACTGGAAATGTCCATAGAGGCATTTCTATTTATTTTGTGATTGTAAGATCTCAGCCACTGGTTCATATTAAGAAGCACTTGGATTTGAATTTGGGTGGGTCTGTCTAGTTCTGGGGCCCTTAGTCTCTTTCTATGGGAGCTTGTGACCCGCAGTACAGTTGAGCTACCATATAACTGTAGCTCAACTACAAGTATGGTCGCACTAGTATGCTTAAAGCATGACCAAGGTAAAAAGTTGGGAAAATGAGGGCAATGGTAGAGAAATAATAAGGAGGGAACAAAGACAAGTGTAACACCTATGGGTCAGAGACGGTAGAGTGTCATCTAAAGCATCCCCACACATTCATTGGTAGCCCCAGTGCCCTTGGCTGTCCTCTCCTGCCACAGAAACAGTGGCATCTTTGCTAAAGAGGCAGTGCTCCCAATTCCATGTAGGCATGCTGGATGTCCAAGTATCCATTGTATCCATTACTAGCAAGGTCTGTCTCTGGAGATGTTCTTGAGATAATATGACAGGCTAGTGAGGCTCTCTTTTCTTCCCCTTATTGGATGGCCCTGTCTCTCCTTCCATTCATTCCCCTCATTATCTTCCTCTAAATCCTGGGAAAGATAGGCCTAAAATAAAAAATTAACTCACTTATTTCTTTGTTTTAATTCTATAGTTATCTGTTCAGTGGCTTTTGTACAAAACATTTTTCTCTGTGCTGTAGATTTAAAGACAAAAAGACCCACTCCTTTACTCTCAAAAGTATCTCGTCTAAGGAGTACCGTATTGTAATATACCCTGAGAAATATATCTTATCAAGACCAGAGTATATGATGACTGTTCCTTATTTGGCATTGCCTATCCTGGATGCCAGAACCTTGTTCCTTGCCATCAAATATGTTAGTTTCTTTATGTATTATTTACAGTGAGGACAATGATTATGACAGTTTATATTTATTGATGATTTATTGAAAATTACTTAGCTCACTAAGAAAATGTTATTCATTTGCTCTGGGTATTTATTTATGTTTACCAGCTCAAGATAATAGAGAAAGACATGGAATCATTGACCATAACAGAGCATTTTGACCTTTGTCTTACTAAGAATTACACAAATAGTATCACTTATCTGGTGCTAACTACATGTCATCTATTGTGCTATGTGCTATATTACATTATCTCATTTAAGCCTCATGATAACCCCATTGGGTGAGAAATGCTATCAGTTTATAGATAAAGAGATTGAGATGGCAGTTATAGGATTAATGGGAAGATTTATGGAAGGATACAATTACCATTTTTGTCCAAATTCAGAGCACCTCCTAGAAGACCAGAAGTTTGTCTGCATTGAGTTTCCATTTAGACCTGTTTCTGTTTGACTTATGTTTCTTTTGCTTTATGCTGTTGCATGCTTTGTGTTGGGATGTCTACATTTTGCACATTTATGACCTGAAGAAAAGTAAGGTCTTTAAGTAATGAGCTGGGGGAATGTTTGCATAATGCTTTAGTTTGTTTCTATAGCCCAAATTTGCTGAGCCCTCTCAGTAAGAATCAACTTTTCTATGTTCATATGGCTGCATTCTTAGGTATACTGTGCCAAGATGAGAGCCTTCAGAACTCCTTGTAGGAAGAGAACATGTTGAAATTGCTCCACTTATGTGTGAGGCCATGACAACTCTTGGGAAATACCACTGATCATTATCTAGCAATATGTTGTTATAATATAATAAGAGTATACTCTGTTTTGAGATCACAGAGAGTAGAAGGATTAAGCCTGGTAAAGAAAATCTGGGCTGGATCCTGTCAAACATGGTATTTGAGCCAGACTTTGAAAGACAACAGGTAGATTGGAGGAGCACACATTTCAAGCAAAGAAATTGTTTTAACCACTAAGCTTACTGAGGTCTACAGAGTCATTATCTCACTTTTATTTCTCCCAAACCCTGAAACAGAGATATTATTTCCCCCATTTTATGGATGAGCCAATTTAAAACTACAGTGATATACTTTAGATAACAGGATTAGATGCAAGTCCAGGCCATAATCTTACTTCCTTCCCCTAGGACATTCTCTATGCCAGTCTGCAGAAACATGAGGAAATGTACGGCACAGGAGGGAATAGCAAGTAGATGGGTGTGGCTTTATGTAGAATGAGTATTCATATATGGAGGTAAGTTTCTGTTTCTTCCAGGGAGTGGGATAAAGGGTAGAGAAGTGGGGATTACAGAGGAGAGAGTTTCTAATAGATCTGTTTGGTTTTACAATGTGGTTTCAACATTAATGGTGGAATCCCACAACTTTTATTAAGTTGTTGTATCTGAGTTACTAACAGAAAAGTTTCCTCATTCCCTCTTTTAGGCACCTTTGCCTTGACATCCTTAATATCAGCCAATGCTGTGGAACGGCTTGTCCCTCAGAGCATGCAGAACCTCTCCACACAGAGTAACACAAGTGTACTGGGCTTATCTGACTTTGAGATGCAAAGGATTGGTGTTGCTGCAGCAGTTTCCTTCTTGGGAGGTGTGATCCAGGTAAAGAATACTGACTTGGAAATAAAGGAAAAGAAATAGTGGAAAATAAAAAGGCAATTTTCTTTTTTTTAATTTAATTTTTTATTAAATCATAACTGTATACATTAATGTGGTACAGTGTGATGATTTGATATACAATGTGGAATACTGAAATCAAACTGATTAACATAAAGAAATTTTATTTTTATTCTCATTCATGGGTTTGTCTGTCCAGATTCAGATGAATAAAGGGCACATGTATTTTATGTTTTTCTTAACTTCAAATTAATATGCGGGTACAAATTTTTAGGTTACATTGTTTTTAATTCTAAGGTAAAGTTCAAGTTGTAGTTGAGCTTTTCTCCCAGGGAGCATGCTGAACACCCTCACACTGTGCACATCAGGTGAGATCCCACCAATTATCCTCCCTTCTCCCAGCAAACACTCTCCCTCCTCCTCCCCGTTAGACTATATTTGTGTTTATTATGTGTGTGGGTGTGTAGTTGTTTATATTGGTTTCATATAACTCCTGAGTGCAATTGGATTTTTTTCCATTCTTGAGATACTTTATTAAGTAGAATGTGTTTCAATTCCATCCAGGTAAACATAAAAAACATAAAGTCTTCATCTTTTCATATGGCTGAATAGTACCCCATGGTATACGTATGCTACAGTTTGTTAATCTACTCATGAGTTGATGGGCATTTGAGTTGCTTCTACAAGTTGGTAATTGTGAATTCTGTTGAAATAAACATTCTAGTGCAAATGTCTTTGTGGTAAAATGAATTTTTTTCTTCTGGGTAAATATCTAGTAATGGAATTTGGGATCAAATGGAAGGTTCACTTTCAGTTCTTTAAGAATTCTCCATGTTTCTTTCCAAAGGTTGCATTAGTTTGTAGTCCCAGCAGTGTAGACATGTTCCCTTCCCTCCACATCTATGCCAGCATCTATAGATATGGGACTTTGTGATGTGAGCTAATCTCACTAGAGTTAGGTGATAGCTCATGGTGGTTTTGATTTGCATTTCTGTGATGATTAGAGATGATGAGCTATTTTGTCTTTATGGAAATACTATTTACTACCTAGAGTAGTTAGATTATAAATGCTGGTTGAATGAATGAATTAGACTGAATGAATGAATGCTGGTTGAATGAATGAATAAACTGAAGCTACTGAGAAACAGTTTTTTGCCTTCTTAAAAAAAGTTGTTTTTAATATCAGGTTAATGTGACGGTACAAACAACTTGGCTACAATATTTGTATTTGTAAGGTAGAGTCTCTCTTATAGTTGTGTCCTGCAGCCAAAAGTTGTGTCATATACCCTTACATTATGCCCGTTAAGTGGAAGCACACCAATTCCCTTCTCTCCTTCCCACTCCCTCTCCTTCATTCTCCCCCCACCCAAGTTGAATTGAATTGAGTTTGTCCCCTGTGCAGGTGTGAACTAAATCATCTACTGACTTCATATTAGTATTGAGTACATTAGATATTTGCTTTTCTGTTCTTGTGATACTTTACTAAGAATGTATTTCAAATCCATCTATGTTAATATGAAAGATGTAAAATCTCCATCTTTTTATGGATGAATTATATTCCATGGTATACATATAACCATAGTTTGTTAATTCATCCCTAAGTTGGTGGGCATTTAGGTTGTTTCCACATCTTGATGACTGTAAATTGAGCTGTGATATACAATCTAGTGCAAATGCCCTTATGATAAAATAATTGTTTTTTCTTCTGGGTAGATGCCTAGTAATGGGATTGTAGGAACAAATGGGAGATCTAATTTGAGTTCCTTGAGGATTCTCCTTACTTCTTTCCAAAGAGGTTGTATTGGTTTGCCATCTCACCAATAGTATGAAAGTGTTACTTTCTCTCCCCATTCATGCCAGCATCTGCAACTTTGGGGCTTTGTGATGGGGGCTAATCTTACTGTGGTAAGGTGATATCTCGGGGTGGTTTTGATTTGCATTTCTCTGATGATTAGGGATGATAAGCATTTTTTCATATGTTAGACATTCATCTGTTTTCTCAGAGAAGGTTCTATTTATGTCTTTTGCCTGGTGATATATGGGATTGATTGCTCTTCTGTTATTGATTGATTTGAGTTCTCTATAGATTCTAGTTATCAAGCCTTTGTCAGATTCATAACATGCAAATATCTTTTCTGATTCTGAAGGTTGTCTATTTGCTGTGATTTTTGTGTCCTCAGCTGTGCAGATGCTTTTCAGTTTAATTAACTCCTACTTGTTCATTTTTTATTGTTGTTGTGATTGCTACTGAAGTCTTCTTCATAAAATCTTTCCCCAGGCTGACATCTCAACAGTTTTCCCCATTCTTCCTTCTAGGATCTTTATTGTTTGATGCCTCAGATTCAAATCTTTTATCCATCTTGACTCAATTTTTGTAAGTGGTGAAAGGTGTGGGTTCAGTTTCAGCCTTTTACATGTGGTCATTCAGTTTTGCCAGCATCATTTATTGAATGGAAATTCTTTCCCCAGGGTATACTTTTGTTTGGTTTATCAAAGATCAGATGGCTATAGGAGACTGGGTTCATATCTTGATTTTCTATTCAGTTCCATATGTCTATATTTCTATTTTTGTGTAAGTACGATGATGTTTTGATCACTGTGGACTTGTAATCTAACCTCAAGTTTGGTAGAGTGATACCTCCAGCTTTGTTGTTATTACTAAAAATTACCTTGGCTATACAATTTTTTTCCTATTTCCATACAAAATAAAGAACAATTATTTTCCAGTCTTCAAAGTATGATGTTGGTGTTTTAATGGGGATTGCATTGAATCTATAGATTTTTTTGTGTAGTATAGACATTTTAACAATGTTGATTCTTCCCAGCCAAGAGCATGATATGTTCCCCTATTTCTCAATGTATTCTGCTATTTATTTCCTTAGGGTTTCATAATTCTCTTGTAAAGATCCTTCACTTCTTTATTAGGTATAATTTCTAGGTATTTCATTTTCTTTGAAGCCACTATGAAGGGAATTTTGTGTTTGGTTAGCTTTTCAACTTGGCTGTTATTGGCTTATACAAAGTCTATTGATTTGTGGACATTAATTTTATATACTGAGACATTACTGTATTTCTTGATCACTTCTAGGAATCTTGTGTTTGAGTCTCTGAGGTTTTCTAACATCATATCATCAGCAAACAGGGAGAGTTTGACCTCCTCTGCCCCCATTTGGATACCCTCTTTATACTTTTCTTGTCTGATTGCATTAGCTAGAACTTCTAGCACTATGTTGAATAATAGTGGTGATAGAGGACTTTACTGTCTGGTTCCAGTTCTAAGTGGAAAAAATTTCAGTTTTATTCCATCCAGTATGATATTAGCTATGGGATTGTTGTAGATGACTTCAATCATTTTAAGAAATATACCCCTATACCTATGTTCTCAACTGTTTTTGTTAGAAAAGGATGCTGAATTTTATCAAATGCTTTTTTTGCATCTATGTAGAGCATCATACAGTTTTTGGTTTTGCTTCTATTGATATGATGAATTATATTTATAGATTTGCTCATGTTAAACCAGCTTTGTTTCCCTGGGATGAAGCCTATTTTTGATCATGATGTATAATTTTTAAAATTTGTAGTTGTAATCTATTGACTAAGATTTTATTGAGTATTTTTTCATCAATATTTATTAGTGAAATTGGTCTTTAGTTCTCCTTTTGAGTTGGGTCCTTCCCTTTTTTTGAAGTCAGAGTTATGCTTCATTCATCAAAGGTGTTGGGGGAAGGTTACTTTCTTCTCAGTGTTTAGAATAGGCTCTGCAGTATAGGTATAAGCACTTCTTTGAATGTTTGATAGAATTCAGGTGTGAGGCTATCTGGCCCATGCTTTCTTGGAAGATTTTTTTCTTGTTTCTTTGATGTCACTGCTTGTATCGCTCTGTTTAAGAGATCTACTTGTTCTTGGTTAAGTGTAGGAGATGATGTGAATCCAGGTACTGGTCCATATCCTCCACAATGTCAAATTTCTGGGTGTAGAGTTTCTTGTAATAGTCAGAGATAATTTCTTGTATAACTGTGTTATCTCTTGTTATATCTCCTTTTTCATTTTTTCTGAGGTTTTTAGAGATTTTTCTTTTCTGTTTTTGGTTAAATCTGGCCATAGGTTTGTTGATTTTATCTTTTCAAAGAACCAACTTTTTGTTTCATTAATTTTCTGAATGATTCTTTTGTTTTTAATTACATTTATTTCTGATTTAATTTTGGTTCTTTCTTTCCTGTTAGGTTTGGGATTGGATTGTTCTTCCTTTTCCATATTCTTAAGATGACTCATTAGGTTGCTGATATATCTTCTTTCTGTTTTTTGGAAATAGGCATCTAATGTGATAAATTTCCTTCCTAGGACTACTTTTGCAGTATTCCACAGGTTTTGGTTGCTTATAGCTTCATTGTTGTCACATTCAAGAAATTTAATAATTTCCTCCTTTATCTCTTCCTTGACCCTACTGTCATTTACCATAAGATTGTTTAATTTCCATGCCTTTGTGTGGTATGAAAATTTTTACTGGAGTTGAGTTCCAACTTTATTGCCTTGTGATCTGAGAAGATATAAAGTATAATTTCAATTCTTTTAATTTTGTTGAGGTTTGAGTTATTTCCTATGATAGGTCTATTTTGGAGTGTGTTCCTTGGGCTAATGAGAAGAACATATTGTATAGTCCTTAGCTTTGGGATGGTGTGTTCTGTATATGTTTGTTAAGACCATTTGTTCCAGGATCCTTTTCATCTTTGCTTATTTTCTGCTTAGAGGATCTTTCCAGGGCTGTCAGCGAGGGTGTTAAAGTCCTCAGCTATTATGGTGTTATTGGATATCATATTGCTCAGATCAATTAAGGTCTGTTTCATAAACCCAGGAGCACTTAAGTTGGGTGCATAAATATTTAGAAATGAAATGTTCTCTTTTTGTATTGCTCCATTGACCAGTATCAAGAGGCCCAGCTTTGAACATGCTTTCAGAACATGCTTTCTAAAATATATTTTACAAAA